GCAGCATCAGCAACAGTAGCAGCAGCAGCAGCAGCAGCAGCAATAGCAGCAGCAGCAGCAGCAATAGCAGCAGAAGCGGCAGTAGCAGCAGCGGCAGTAGCAGCGCCAGTAGCAGTAGCAGCAGCAGCAATAGCAGCATCAGCAACAGTAGCAGCAGCAGCAGCAGCAGCAGCAATAGCAGCAGCAGCAGCAGCAGCAGCAGCGGCAGTAACAGCGCCAGTAGCAGCAGCGGCAGTAACAGTGTCACCCATCAGAAGTTCTTTGTCTGACGTTTCTGCGCACAAAGAACGCGTAGTAAATGGATGGATGTGCGAGAGCGCGCTGCCTTTGTCTCGCTTCTCCCGCAGATGAGAGGATTGGGGGGGGGGTGCAAGCGGGATGATTCGGACAGGACGGACCGAGACAAAACTCATTCTTCTCAACTCGAAACTCAAGGGTGATACTCCATTAGTATAGGAGTAGGAGTAGGATTAATGGTTAGGGTTATGTTATAGGTTAGGTTAGGATTAAGGTTAGGGTTACGATTATCAATCATTAATCATTAATCATTAATCATTAATCATTAATCATTAATCATTAATCATTAATCATTAATCATTAATCATTAATCATTAATAATTAATCATTAATCATTAATCATTAATCATTAATGATATCAAAGTTGGGAACACTCCTAATGGAGCGTTAGCCAAACTCAAACGCATCTTGGTACGTTTCAATAGTAAAATGATGGTAAATAAACACGAAATGTATTTACTACCGCAAAGTTTCTCTGCACCATTTCGCCTATTATTGCCGATAACAGCCTATCCACATACACATGTAGGCCTATACCCGTGTACGCGTGCCCCCCCCCCACCATCACCCATCCATATACACATGTACCCGTGTACACATGTGAGGCCTGCCTAGACTTATGTACGCGTGTCCGCACTTACACATGCGCGCGCGCGTCCGTACATGTGTCACAGCAACGCACCGATTATCAATAAAGGCGACGAATTATAAGACTCGCCTTGTGAGTAATGCGTGGCACGTGAGCAACTCCCTCCCCCTCCCCCTCCCCTCGCCCCCTGGCCCTCCCCCTCCCTTAATATCAGCTCGATATGTGCGGTCTGACTAAGCCGTGACGTCACGACGTGCAAACACGTCACCGCAACATTGATCACCGCGATTTTTTATTTATCGCGATCGCTGACATCTATGTGTGTATGTGCGTGCATGCGTGCGTGCGTGTGTGTGAGACGAATTAAGCCTATAGTGACTAATTAATGTACACGTCACGAGATCAGCGTCACGGCTCAACACAAATGGACCCGTGCAGCTGCCACACCGCGTATATTATGCAAATATGCGTCGATCGCGGCCATCTTTGATTTTTTTAATCGCGCCGCGCGTGCGCCATCGTCATTGCATCACCCAGGATGTTTGTTAATTCCACGTTTCGCAAAATTTAAATTTAAACTCGCACGCCGCAGCCATTAAAAATGATTTTCATAATAATTGGCGTCATTATGGTTGATAAACCTTTGCGACGCGATTAAATGGAATATACGACTCCACGCCGGGGTCGATGGCGACGTGCGTACGAGGTTGATCTATGTTAACGACGCGTATTAACGACACAGTAGCGACGATTATTACGCGTATCGCGGTGTGTGGCACGTCTTTATCATAAGCTAACGCATGGCTACATGCAATGTACACACACGCGACACGCCCGCGACACTCATATATACGCAAACACACACACGCCACGCCACGCACACACACACACGCACACGCAACACTCACACACACACGCACACACACACGACACCACACACACACACACACACACGCACACGCACACACACCACACACACTCACACACGCCACACGCCCACACGCCACACACCACACACACACACACACAGCGCCACACACACACACACACCTGCACACACACGCACAGCACACCACCCACACACGGACGACACCGCACACACACGCACACAGCCACATGCCTGCAACGACTGTGGACAGATTGGTGTGTATTTTCATTAGCAGTGTATTGTGAAGCACAGCCAGCAGCAACAACTTTGAACGTCTCCCCTATCCACCACGCGCGCACGCACATACGAGAATATGTGTACGCGTCATGCACGTACGCCCTCCTCACACCCTGCTGTTTGTTTGCCGAGTGAGAGTGACAGAGGGAGAGAGAGATGTAGCTAGACAGAGAGAGGGAGAGAGCGAGGAGAGAGAGAGAGAGAGAGAGAGTAGAGAGAGCAGAGAGAGAGAGAGGGGAGAGAAGAGACAGAGAGAGAGAGAGAAGAGAGAGAGAGGAGAGAGAGAGAGAGAGAGAGAAAGAAAGAGAGAGAGAGCGAGGAGAGAGGAGAGAGAGAGAGAGAGAGAGAGAGGAGAGAGAGAGAGAGAAGACGAGAGCAGAGAGAAGCCGTACGTAACAAACGAGAGAGAGAGGGAGAGAGAAAGAGTCGTGCGTACAACTAGAGAGAGAGAGAGGGAGAGAGAGAGAGAGAGAGGGAGAGAGAGAGAAGAGAGCGAGAGCGAGAGAGAGAGAGAGCCGTACGTATACAACTAGAGAAACGAGAGAGAGAGAGAGAGAGAGAGAGAGGAGAGAGAAGAGAGAGAGAAGAGAGAGTGAGCACGAGAGAGAGAGAGAGCAGAGAGAGGGCAGAGGCAGAGCAAGAGTAAGCGATGGGAGGGAACTCGACAGCCAGATACACACATGCAGAGAGGGAATGGAGTTGAGTGAGTATTTATCGCGGCTCCCAAGTGGCCGCCCCCCTCCTCCCACCGCATCAGGGGCGTCGCATCTGCTCTCCATCAAGCACGATTGTTTCCGGATTGCGGGGTAAAATTAACACGCGACGACGCAGACGCGTACAGAATATACACGGATACACGGACACGCGCGAAGAGAGCAGATGCTGCCTAGCCACCACTGACGCGTGCCCGAGAACAAAAAGAATCACGAGATAAAGAAAGAGAGAGAGCGTATAGAGAGAGAGAGAGAGAGAGAGAGAGAGAGAGAGAGGAGAAGAGAGAGAGAGAGAGTGAGAGTGCGTGTAGGTAGGTGTGTGTATGTGTGTGTGTGTGTGTTGTGTGTGTGTGAGTGTGCCGCGCGCAGCGCGCGTGTGTGTGTGTGTGTGTGTGTGTGTGTGTTGCTGTGTGTGTGTGTGTGCTGTTGTGTTGTGTGTGATATGAGTTGCTGGCGTGCGTGTATGTATGTTGCTTGTGCATGCGTGTGTGTGTTGCGTGACCGTGTATGTGTAGTGCTGCGCGCGTACTGTATGTGTCGTAGCGTTTATTAGGTGTGTGCTAACTGCATTTGCATGATATAGTTTTTCACAATCGTGAATGCATCGCCTATATTGATCATATAGCATCGTGTTAACATGCGACCATTTCCCATGTCATTTGATCACTATTCATACAATCATATGCCGCGTTCATCGTCGAATTTTTCCTCTTTTGTAAGTCCTCGTAATTTTTATCACACACGCTCGTTTAATACTGTCAATAATTCATTCACGTCATTCACCATCGCGTTCACTCTCGCTTTCATTCATTTGTATAGACGCTCGCTCGTTCGTTCGTTCATGATTATCGCCCTTCGTTCATGAATTCATCTTCGTCATCTTCCAACCAATTTCACTACCTACTTTCTGAGACTTGTTCTTTTTTCTCGCAGTATATTCTTTTCAGACAGTCAGAGTTAGTTAACCTGCAGATATTGCTATCGCAACTAATGGGACAGGCGAACGCCTTGCCCACCTTCCCACACTCGCTTACTGTTATGCGATACAGTTATATCGTACCTTATATCGTATATATATCGTAGATAGATCGTATGTATGCGATACAGATATATATATAGAGATAGCCTGATTATATCTTAGCGCTAATTGTGAGTTAAGGTGCGTTAAAATCACTAGGTTACGTTTATCTGACCGCTAGGACACACCCCCGTAGCACCGCCTCTGCGCCCAAGCGAACATTCACACAGTTATAATAATAATAATAATAATAATAATAACAAACAATCACAACACCTGTGATTTTTTACCTGTAATCTATCTATAATTAAGCGCATCGATTCACTGCTTTCGCGGACTTTTTCACAAGAAAAAAAACCATTGTGACGGTTTTGTTCGTGGGTCATCTCAGCAGCAGTAGAGTCGGGTCAAACATTGAGGAGTAGGGTAACAATGGGAGCATGGAGGTGGTAGGATGGTGGTGGGTGTGCAGTGGGAGGGAAGCGGCGTGTCCGCATCCGCGAGCATGCTAACCACCACGCTCCACTGAACCAGGCAGGTGCTCGCGGTGTAACTATAGCTCAGATATATATATCTTGCACCCCCCACAGCCAGGCAGAAGGGGCGTGATTGTGGTCCGTGGTTAGTTGGATGATAGAGGTTTACGGGGGAGGGTGGTTTGATTGGATGCGGTAGAGGATTAGGGAGAGCGTGGTAGGCGTTAGCACAATGCTCGCCTTGTAAAGACGGAAACCCGCTCCGATGACATAATTACTGGTGCAAGCATGGAGGTAATCGTAACTTGTAGTGACTCCACAGTGTCCACACTGTAACGGACACGTCGGAACAACAGGCGATGGTTTGCGTATAGCCGTATAGTTTTGCGTATAGTTCGTCGCATTCTATTGTTTATTAATATTATTATTATTATTATTATTATTATTTTCATTATCCATCATTGTCATTATTATTATTATATATCTTTTATTTGCTCGTGGAACATCTTTATTATATACCATTGTACTGCACGCACGATCTTCGTAGTATCAAAACTATCGTAAATCCTGTCGCTTTCCTTATGCGCTTCTCCTTTCCATAACGCTCCCCATAACTTTAACTATAACCTTAACCCTAACTCTAACCCTAACTCTAACCATAACCATAACGCCACCGTGACGGTAACTACTAACTGTAAACCTAACTGAAACCCTAAGCGAACCCAAAACTAACTTTAACCATAACCCTGAAACTAACGCTAACCATAACCCTAACCTACCCTAACCCTAACCCTAACCCCCCCCCCGCAACCCTCATCCTAACCTTAAACCTATAGCTCTTCCGCCGTAACCGACACAGACACATATACTTCTCCACCACCTGCGTGAATGGCACGCTCGTACGCGGGCCGCACGGGGAGGCAGGTGTTCAAAGACGGTGCGTATAACTGATCGATGGAGAGTCTCGTCTGCCTTCTCCCGCCACGCAGCCGAACCTAGCTGCGTCTCAGCGGCGCAGACGACACACACACGCCGCGCACGCACGCACGCACGCACGCAACGCACGCACGCACACACACACACACACACACACCACACCACACCACCACACACCACACACACACACACACACACACACACAGCATACACACACACACACACACACACACCACCACACACACACCACACACAAACACACACACACACACGCACACACAGCACACACACACACACACACACACACACACACCACACACACAGTGCCTCTATGGCTACATCTCCAACGGCTATCGTGTTGAACCCTCCCCCAAACGCCCCCTTCCTGCCCTGTACCCGCGGTCACGACGAGCGAAGCATCAGGGAGACCCACCGGCGCTACTACAGAATCGAAACACCCGCGAAAATCAATTAAACTGACAACACTTTCCGCTTATGTAGCTTCTGCTGTGTAACACTCTTTCGACGCCGCATGCAGCTTCACTCGCTGTGGCCATAATGTCTGAAGTATGTATAACGTGAGACTACTAGATACTGACAGTACACTAACAGAGTAAACTCTATGTATACTATCAAGAGTACATAATAGGAGATGTACCCCCTGTAGGAATCTCCTATTATGTACTCTTGATACTATACACTAGAGTAAGTAGATGCTAGACCAGGTATACTTTAGTAGACACTCTAAGTGCTATAGCCCATGCGGATTGAGGGACAATGGCTGAGGAGAGAATAAGCTCCGAAGGGGGATACCCACTGATTTATATATAAACATTAGACGCATACGTATACAAACGCGTTTACGGATACATCAGCGCTGGTACACACCCACTTTCAAGTCTGCGAACTCGCACAGTAAACCTAGATGTCACGCATTTCTGACTATATAAACAGTAAAACACACGCGGTTCTACGCCATGCAGGTATATGCGGACTGCGGTTGACGTGTATTGCCACTGGCAAGAGCTATATATATAAACCATAAATACCCCCTCATCATATTCATGGTTATATCTATATACGAGCTAAACACTCACGCGCAGGTGGCTACGATTAAACTTTAACAAGTAAAATTATACGTGGTGCTGTTTAAAATCACCATTAAAAACTGGGACGCGCTCAGGGCGATGACGTCACGGGGTTACCTTGACGCGCGCCACACCCGCCCCTTATCGTCACGCCTATGGTCACATACAGTCATAATCTATCCCGTTAATATTTTAGCGACGTTAACGCGTTTGGTATAATAGCGATCGACGCCCCGTTGTGTCCGCACGCATGATGAAATCAATCACGAGAGGGTTTTGCGACACGTACCCCCTCCCCCCGGGCCCGCCCCGTGCCTGCGCACCGCCCCCTGACAGTATTCTGCTGACATGTCACCGTCAGGTAGCCTATCGGTGAATTTACGTAACAAAGCGCGAACAGATGGCGAACGGAGCGGTGGAAAGAAATTTGTAATCGAATTTAGCGCGGCATGCGCCGGTAATAAAATGTTACTCATATTAAAATCTTAGCCAGTATGAATTTTTCATCGGTCTGCACTATAGATTACGTGAGATACGAAGGAGGAAAATACGGTCGTAAAAATATTACGAGCTGCGTGAGCGTGCGCACGCACACACACATACACACACACACATACATACACACACATACACGCACGCACGCACGCACGCACGCAC